CAAAAAGATATTAAAGATACTCCTTTTCCACAATAACCAGCAAAAATCCAGTTTACAGGGATATATCAACTAGTGAAACACCAGTGAAGCAAGGATGAGTTCAAGCCTCCAAACACACACACACACACACACACACACACACACACACACAATTACTCCTCTACTTTTAGTACTAGCTGAATCTTCCCCTGTCAAAAAATAGCTTATGGTTTTCCTTAGGACCTATGCTTATTGAATCATTTATAATAAATCTGGCATTCCAGTAAATACATTCAAATTCAACTGGTGAGTCAAAGAATCAAAAACACACAAAGAACCTTGAAATCACTTAGTGAGCCTGTAACTTACCCAGCATCCAGTTTTCAAAGGTCAGATCTCATTGAGAGTCTGACTTATTTCATTGAAGTCACATAAAAACCCAGAGCTCATGGGTTATCCTTTCTCTCTCTTCTGCTTTTCTCTTCTCTCTTGCTATCATTGTACTTCAGAGATTACGCACCTTTTATCTCCTTATTTTTAGAGAATTACAAGTATAAACTATTAATCTCAATGTTAGAAACGGTGTCAGTATTAACTTACAATTCTGTGTATACTCATGTATAAAATTATTAATGACCTTAATTAAGCATCTACAGAAACTTCAGTTTCATGAATTTATAAATGCAGAAAGAATGGGGGGGTATACAAATTTGTTTTTTTTAAACATTTCTAAATTCTGAACTTTTGTAAAGAGTGCAATAATTTCTATTTTATCCTTCTATCTAAACTACTTTTCCAGGTTTTTCAGGTAAGAAAGAAAATGCCTATGAGACACACTATTTTTGGTTGGTGTTTCTTACTAACTTTACGTGGGAAAATCCCATGTATCAAAATATATGTGCATGTATCAAAATAAAGGATTCTTTGTCAATAAATTAAATGGATTGTTATATTGGCCACAAAAAGAGAAAGCAGATTGTAATGTCTGAAATAGGTCTTTCCATGGCAAAATGCCTGATTCTCTGAGGAAATTCTGTCATCTTACAGAAGTGTTTTATGAAAACATAGATAGTTCACCTTGTACCTTGTAGAAAACATCATAGTTTTTTATAAGACTTACTAAGCTATACATAGCAGATTAGAAAGAAAAAAACTCTAAGGATGAATACATCTGCAGAAGCAAAATGTGCACTGTCATCTTCCTTAACAAATGGTACTCAATCTGCTCCAAGACTGTCCTATTTCCCTAAATTAGCACTTGAGAAGAGGCAGCAAGCCTGATTTTCTCCCATGGTTCTCAACAGGAACATCCTTCTTCATAACCATCTTTTCCTCTTACCATCCTCTTGTACTATTCCAATTGTATTACTCTTACATGCTTACCCCAAAACCAAATGAGTAGATAGTGAACAGGAGTTCAAGGTAATATAATCTCAGTTCATTAATTTTTCTTCAGGCTAGAAATTTTCAAAACCAGGCATTAGAAGTAATCAAAAGTAGGAGAGAAAACATTCAATAAGTGAGAGACAGAATGTGTAAGAATGATAAATAGATACATGAGGATAAGCTCAACATCCTTGGCTATAGAAGAAACAAATGGAAATCAAAACAACTTTGAGATTCTATCTCACCTCAATTAGATTGGCTAACATCAAGAATTTGAACAACAAATGCTGGTGGGGATAATGGGGAAATGAAGCCCTATTGCACTTTGGGAATGTAAATTAGTACAACTACTCTAGAAGGAGGTTTAAAGATTCTTCAACAAACTAAATTTAGAACTTCCCTAAGACCCAGTCATGCCACTCTTGAGAATCTACCCAGATCATTACAAGTCAGGATACCGTAATAACACTTGCACACCATATTCATTGCTACACTATTAAAATAACCAAGTTATGTAAACAGCTTAGATACCCTACAACAGAAAAGTGTATTAATAAAACGTGTTACATATACACAATGGATTTTTACTCACCCATTAGAAAAAATAAGATTATGTCATTTTGCAGAGAAATGAAGTGAGATAAGCCAAACTCAGAGAAATAAATGGCACGTGTTTTCTCTCATATGTGGAAGCTAGATGTAAAATATAACGGGACATGATAATCCATACAGAACTCTAAGCATTCACACAAACAGACTAAAGGACAATACTTTTATGGGAAGAAACAAAAGGTATAACTCCTCTGAACATTTAAAATACTGTTTATCAAACTGAGTTCCAAGAAATAGAAACATGGGTTTTTTGTTGTTATTGTTATTGTTGTTGGTGGTGGTGGTATTTGGTTTTGAGTTTTTTAAGGGGGAGGGGACAAAGAAAAGGTGCAGAAAGGGAGGGAGGAAGGGTTAAAAAATGCCATCATGGTATTCAGTATGTACCCTGTGTAGAAAATGAGCTATGTAATTTGGGGGCTGGAATGGGAGGGGAAATCTGGAGGAAAGCAAAGCAAAAGATGGCATTGTCCAAAGAAAGAAATATACTCATTTCCTGATTTATAGCATGGTAAAACCTCAATACAACAAATTTTACTTTTATTAATTACAACAATAAAGTTATTTTTATAAAGTGAGAGCAGTATACTCAAAGAAGCCATAAAGAAGTATTTAGTTGACATTTGAACATAGTTATTTCCTTCCCATTTTCTCTGGAATAATACAAATATAATATTGTTGAATATTTGATAACTAGTTTGTCTTTGGTCTCAATGAGTAGTACTCAGAAAAATTAGTCAAAAAAGAAAAACTAGTTCTTCCTTTGTTCTAGAGGAAATCCTCCTTTCTTATTAGTTTGAAGATTGTAACATCTTCATATTACTTCCTCAAGCAAAACTTGCTTATTTTGTAAGACTGCTACTAAACTGTCTCTCTTCAACTTTTGCTGGTCTCTATAAATTTTTTGTTGTTCTCTGATTGTTTATGGGATGGTGATGAGGCCAGTAGTAATTAAAAACTGTACGATTATACTTGTTAAATTTCACATTGGTATCATCCTATTACTTAAGCTTGGCAAAGGTTTTGGAGTTTGTCAGCCTCTTTTATTATATATTACTTACTGTCCTGTTCCTTTGATAGCCAAATATACACCACTATCATATAAGGAGAATATAGTGCTGGGAATTCAAGGTCTTACTTTCATTCTTATTTTCAAAACCAAGAGGCTAATGATACCAAACTACTTACTTTATCTATATAGCTCAGTAGTGTATGTTTTTTTTGGAGGTAGGGTTCGGTCGTGGGCCTGAACTCTGGGCCTGGGCGTTTCCCTCAGCTTTCAACTCAAGGCTAGGGCTCTACCACTTGAGCCACAGTGCCACTTCCGGCTTTTTTTTTCTGCTTATGTGGTGCTGAGGAATCGAACCCAGGGCCTCATGCATGCAAGGCAAGCATGCTACCACTGAGCCACCTTCCCAGCCTCAGTAACATATTTTTAAGGATAGATACCAAGAACATAAAAATGGTGTCTCTCATGACTATAAATAACACTACAATGTTCAAAGCAAATTGAGATTATCAGAAAATTTTTATTTATGAAGCTATGTAAACAAGTAAAATACCATAAATTTAACCTAAAAGAAATTGGAGGGCTGGGAAGGTGGCTCAGTGGTAGAGCGCTTGCCCTGCATGCCTGAGGTCCTGGGTTCGATTCCTCAGCACCACATAAGCAAAAAAAAAAAAAAGCAAACAAAGAAATTGGAGTGAATTCACTAAGAATATAAAAGAGGATAGAAAATTAATTTTTAACCCTCAATCCTTTTCCTTGTTCAATCTGTGTCTAGGTATGGCTTGGTGCCCATTTTCTCCTACTTCACTTAATGGATTTTCTGCATTTCTATTTACCATAGCTTTATAGTGTATGACTCTAAGAAGAAAAAAAGAAGAGTAGGGCCAGGAAATAGGAAAAGCAGCCGTTAGGGAGAACAAAACAAAAATTTCCATCTGCCTCCCATTCTTTGCCTAGTCTACACTGGTCAGTGGCCTTGGTTTTAAATATCATGCACTCAGAATTTCTTGGAAAAGAATCTCTAAACTTAGCTTATCTGTAGAAGCCCCAAGAGCGTCTCTTCCCACAGGGTTGAGACTCAGTCCACAGGAATTCTGCAGGAGCAGCATAGGTGTCAGCTAAATTCAATAGCCAAAGTAAATAGCAAAAGGAGGAGGAACAGGATGGAGAGACCAAAGATGTGGGCATTTCCCAGCTAAAACAGGAACACAGCAGCTTTTAAAAGCTTTACTCTTAGAACCTTGCTCACACCCAAAAAGTGCAAACTCTTAAAAACAAAGTAGATTTTCCTTTCACTGGGGCTATCTCCATTTCTCAATTGTTTGTTTGTTTTTACCATATTTACAAGCATTAGGTAGGTTTTATTTTTTCCATTGCATCTAAGAATGTTTAAGGTTATGTCATCAGAGAGTTCTAAAGTCCATAGTGCTAGAACAAATTTTATACTTCATTATGCAGTCAATGAGTAAATTGAACACTTTTCATCACAACTTAGCATTTTAGATATTTGTAGAATTATTTTTATAAACTAAGTTCATCATAAGTAGCAATCTCTCAGAGTTATTAAACATAAAAAGAAGTGAGGTTCTGGTAGCTCACACCTATAATCTTTCCCTAGGCAAATCCCCCAATTAACCTCTGCAGGCCATGAAAGAAGAACAGGTATATTAAAATTTGGCTTTTTATGCTGTTTATAAATATATTGCTTAGGATAAAAAAAATGACTTCTTAATGGCTAAGAAGTCATTTATCAGTTGAGCTTACCTTTAACATAAACATGAAAATATGTTTATTCTCAGGACATTTTTGTGTTTATAATTTCTAGCTTTTTCCTAACATGTCTGAAGTATTCAAACAGTCTTTGCTTCAAAAGGAAGTCAGAGTTACAGTCATGGGTGGTTTACAGAACATTTTCTGGTAGTTTTTGCTTCATTTTAATATCTGGACATGATTGGCTGTTGTTAGCTACAAATAAGGAAGTCTTCAAGTCAGGGGATTTCTCAGTGGAAGTTCCCAGTTCAACACAAGGGAAAACTCAGGACAGTCTAAGCAGCATTGATAGGACCTGAGCAAGCAGCTACCAGAATGTGTACTGTCTACGTCTTTAAAGAGAAATAGTCTGTGAAGGAAGACTTGTAATCTGGAGAAGAGGTAATCAAATTTTATTAGTTCCTACCAATTTTCAACCTAACAAAGTGGCCAGGGTGTCTCCTTATGTGTTACAGATTCATTCCACTTTTGTATTTGTTAACTGTGTAATTTATTAGATGATTCTATATTGTCTTGTAATCCTTATAATAGAAGTTTGGTCTTTTTGTTTTAGACAAAATCCAAGACAAAATTTAAATTTTGTAGTCTTTTTGCCTTTATAACTTTTAAGGTAGAATTTACTATGTTTCTAATGGAGACAAATGTGTAATGTTATATCTGGAATAAATGCCTTCACTAATAAATTATTTTTATAACATAATGTAAGGCTGAAAGACATAGGGCCTAAGTTCAGAGGTATGTAGCTTACTAGGTTAAAAAGTAAATCAAGGAGCTGAGAATGTGGTAGAGTGGTAGAGTGGTAGAGTGCTTGCCTTACATGCACCAACCTCTGGTTTTGATTCCTCAGTATCACATACACAGAAAAAGCCAGAAGTGGCCCTGGCTCAAGGAGTAGAATGCTAGCCTTGAGCAAAAGGAGCTCAGGAGCAGTGCCTAGACCCTGAGTTCAAGACCCAGAACTGGCAAAAAAAAAAAAAGGTAAATTAAAAGTGTATGTATTCACACATTTTAAATCACATTTTAAAAAATCAATTCCAGCCTGATTTAATGTCCACTCAAACATGAAGTTTAGTATTTTTCTATTTCATAAAACACATGATATTGAATTTTTCATGACAGTAAATTATCACCCTTATGGGCATCCTTACATTTTCTATTTAGAATGTTCTAACTTGTAGAATTATAGTAATCAAATCTTTATTATTTTACCAACTGACCCTTTTATTTCTACACTCAAAATGAACATCAAAACCTTCATAGAATTTTCTTAAGAACAATCCTTGAGAATATTGGAAATTCAAAAAGATTAAACACGAAGAGCTATCATCACTATTGATATACTGATAGCTGTCATTTATTGATTGCCTGATGGAAAAAAATGATCACAGATTTTTAGCATCAGATATAAAATGGCAGAGTCAGGGAAGGTTTAAATATAAATTCATGTCTCTTTTGTCCATGGCTCTCTGTTACTGTTTTATCCTCTGCCTTCTTATAGTATCACAACAGTATTTACTGCCATGTAATGGAGAAAAAAGAAAATGGAAGGAAAAAGGAAAATGACTTCACCAAGGTCACAGAATAGCATCATTCCTAAAATTGTCTTGCTTTCCACTCACCTGACCTCACCTCCTCCCTCCCTTCCTGTAGGGCTACATCTATGTGTGCACAGGTGGACATGCTAGCTTGCCTCTGGGAGGATGTGAAACTGTAATCTGGCCCAACCTCCCTGAAACTCAAGTTCAGCAGAAAACCAGGAAAATAGAACAATGACCAGTTATTTCTCTTAAACACTTGTGATGAGATTATTTAAATAAACCTGTTAGCCTGGTTCAGATGTCTCATCCTTAATCCTAGGAGACTACAGCTGAGGATAATGGCTCAAAGCCAGCCTCAGCAAGAAAGTCTACCAAAACAGCCAGAAGTGAAGCTGTGGCTCAAGTGGCAAAAGAAGCTCAGGGACAATGCGCAGGCCCTGAGATCAAGCCCCAAGACTGGCACCAAAAAATAATCTAATTAATTAATTGATGAAATCTGTTAAATCCCTAAACAATCTTCTGGTTAAATTTTTGTAAAACTTATTCTCTAAATTGAGGAGCATGAACATCATTACAGTGAAAAAGCTTCCTGTCTGTTAACATTTTAGTTTCCATGTAGTAATCTTAAACATTTGTAGTTGTATATATTCTGTATATTTTGTTCTGTCTTTGTGTGTGTGTGTGTGTGTGTGTGTGTGTGTGCGCGCGCGCGCGCATGCATAGTAAGAATATTCTTCATGTGTAATAACGATAGTCTTTTCATTACATTTCTTCCTGATCATTGCTACTTTCCTGATTTTATTTTACTAATCATTTTATTCAGCTGTTATTTTTCTATATTATTATAAGTAATTTACAAGTAAAGCTTAAATTGAAAAATGTATAAATATGTCTTCTTCCTTTTATCTGATAACTACTTTGGCCAGAATTTCTGGAACAAGACTTAAGAGCAGAGAAGAGAGCAGCCAATCTTATCACATTTCTGATCTCTGGGGGAATTCCCCTAGTGGTTAACATTCAGAGTGACGTTGGCTGCTGGTTTGAGATAAATATATTTATCATAAAACCAAATAACAATCAAGTAATCTAGTTTGCTAAGAGTGTATTCAAGAAAAAACATAAGAAGTTATGTTAAACTATATTGAATATATTTTTGGGTTTCATCAGATTTTTCTATTTACATAGTGCTCTGCTTTGACATAAAGTAGTCATTGCAGTTTTGAAAATTATATATCATAAAAAATAATGCTCAATAGCATATTTCCCCCTTACTATTTAGTACAATGCAAAACACATGTGAAATGTAAAAAATTATTTGGCTTATAAAATTGATATTACTGAGTGCTCCTGTAGTAATGCAGATTTGGAGTTATAAATTACATTTTGTTATTGCTGAGATTAAAATAGTCAAAAGTTGATCAAAACAAAACAGGCAGTTACATGTTTACATGCCTCCTTTTCCAGTATTTTGGGTTCGCAATTCAGTTCACAACTCAAATTAACAGGAAAGAATGAAAACAATGTGGTATAAGCTAACGAACTCTACCCAGGCAAAGAAACCAGATTACACAAAGCAGCTGTTTAGATGTTTTATGAAGACAGCTTTCTTTAGTTAAAACCAACAGTGGTATGTAACACGTGTGTCCAAATGGATTTTCCTTATTTATATTAATAAAATAGGTCTAAAAAATCCAAAGTTTTGCAATTTGCTCAGAATTTTTCCACTCATATTCATAAGTAAAATTAATCTGTATTTTTATTTTCTGGAACCTACCACTCATGGGTTTCCATATTAAAGTTAAATTAGCTACAGAAAGTAAAATTATGAAGCTGCCAAAATATTTCATATTCTAAAACAATTTTAATGGAAGTTAGCTGCTCCTTGAAATGTATAAAGAACAAATACATAACACTATCTGGCCTTGGCAGCCCCTTCTGAAAGTAATTCATTAAAAAGCTTTTCCAATGCCTTCTATATTATTGATCTATTGAAGTTTTTGTGATTTTTTTTCATACAATTTGATTATTTTTACACAAAAACAATTCTTTTTATCTGATTTTTCAAATACATTGGCATACATGGTATGTCTTGTACTATTTAAAATATTTGTAACTATATGGGAAACTTTTTCTCTTATTTTCTCTCCTAAATCTCTCTGTCTCTGTCCCTCTGTGTGTCTCTGGTCTCTGTCTCTCTCTGTCTCTTTGTCTCTGATTCTGTCTCTGTCTCTGTCTGTCTGCCTCTCTCTGTCTCTCTGTCTCCTTCTCTCTGTCTCTCTGTTTCTCTCTCTTTCTCTGTGTCTCTCATTTTCTTTCTCTCTCTTCCTCTCTCTCTCCTGGTTGGACATGGCACAAAGCTAATCTCATAGATTGAAATTTTTATAGTTAGCTTAAAAAACTTTTTGGCTTTTATCTTAATGTTTTCTTGATAGATTTTTTTTTAGATTATTTGACTTCTCTCAGTGAGTTGAATGCTTAAGTTAGCATACGTATCTTTAATTCTTTCTTGTTTAAGTAGGGGAAATTTAAGTTCATCTTATGAATTTTTTATATTACTTGCCCATTGTTATTATTATTATTATTTTACAGTTCTAGGGATTTATGGGTTTTTGTTTTGGGCACAGTTATTAATCATAATTTTATTTTCTCTTTCTTCAAAAAGTTTTTTAGCGCTGGACATGGCACATGTCTGCAACCCCAGCTTGCAAGGCACAAAGAGGAGCCCTTTGGAAAATTCTGATACCCTATCAGAAAAATAAAGCAAAAGCAAACACCTTTGTTTAGCAAGCACAAAGGCCTACATTCAAACTTCAGGACCATCAGAAAACAAAAACAAAAAGAAGTTAATTAGAACAGTAAAGACTGTTTCAGAACAGCTTTAGGCTTAAAGAAAAATTAAGCAAGCACTGGAGATCTTTCCCTTTTGTTACCCTGATTATCCCACAACTTATTGTTATCAATTTCTGCATTAACATGGTATATTTATTATAATAAGCCAAACCTTGATTTTATTGGTTCTTTTTTTGTTGTTCTTTTATTTCTTACTAATTTGTTAAGTTTCTTTTCCCTGCTACCTTTAGACTTAGTTGGTTTTCATTTTCTTAGTTCCTTGAGATACAAATTTATATGACTGAATTCAGATCTATCTTCCTTGGAATCTGAATGCCTAGTGCATGTGAATGCACTAAGCACTACATTCACTATATACCATTATATATAGCATTTTTCAGGGTGTTTTTTTTTCTTTTTTGCATTTATTTCTAGCACAATCAAATTGTCCTTGTGATTTCATTTTTGACCCATCGGTTAAGAATGTGTCGTGTAATTTTCTCACCTATAATGCATTTTCCAGTTTTATTCATGCCATTGATTTCTATCTCTGTTAGGCCCTGCCAGAAAACCACGGAGACACAGGGGCACATAGAACAAAAAAAGGTTTATTGCCAGCAAAAGAACCAGCAAGGAGAAGGAGCCCCAGTCAGTGTCTGAGGTGACCTTTATAACTTTAGAGGGATTAGGAGGCAGGGACTTTGGTGTGGACATGTGGTCCGGGACTTCATCATGGCAGGCTAGGACTTATGGCAGCTGCCCAAGTAGTAGATAAGGGAAGTGCAGCTGCCCAAACTGAAGGTCACTTTAAGGGATTCTGTTATCTTATCTGGTTGTAATTGCCCCAATGGAGTGCCATGTCAAGATGAAAGTGGGAGGAGGCTGATAATTTACTGCCATCACCAAAAGGGCCTGGTGCCCTGGTGGTTTATTTACTGCCTATACCTAAGAGGCATAATGATAAACTCTCTGAGTAAGGTGCTTGGCCAGTCCTGGGAAAGGAGCATAAACTAT